CAATTTGAGCCCATATAGGGTTTATATATACATACATACATATACATACATATATACACACGTATATATATACATATATATTTTTTTTAATTTCATACTAATTTATTTACAAAGTTTGAATACATTGTTTTTCACACTGGATCTTCCCCATTTCCTTCATTCCACCCACCCATCAAACTGTGCAAACCTATGACTACCCACCCTTGCCCATCCTCACCCCTCTTCTTCCACCCTTTCACCTTGGATCCTCATACTCATTCTACAATAATGCTCCTATATAGTATTTGTCCTTATGGACTGAGTCAGTTCACTCAGCATAAAGCTCTCCAGGCCCTCCCAAGTTAGGTAGCAATTTACAAAATCATTGCTCCTGCGTGTTGCCCAGTATTCCACTGTGTGAATGTACCATAAGTTCTCAATCCATTTGCTTGTGGTTGGACATCTGGGCTATTTCCATGTTCTTATGATGGTGAACAATGCTGCTATGAACACGGGTGTACAAGTCTTCATTTGTGCCTCAATTCTCATTCTCTTGGGGTGTATTCCAAGCAGTGGAATTGCTAGATCATATGAAATTTCTACGTTCAACTTTTTGAGGAAGCACCAAACTGCCAGAGTGATATTACCATTTTTTAATTCCACCAATAATGTATAAGAGTTTCTATTTAACCACATTGTTTCCAATATTTATTACTTGCTGTCCTGTTAAACTTTGCCACTGATCCTAGAGTGAGATGGTATCTCATGGTGGTTTTGATTTGCATCTCTCTTATTGCCGGTGATTTTGAGCATTTCTTCAATTTGATCCCACATAGTTTTTAAAAGAGCACAATGCTCAAGGCAGACATATTTTTTACAACTGAAGTCAAATTATTTGTTTTAAAGAAGGTTTCCAGGGATATTTCTGGTTTATGGTACCTCCCATTTTGTGTTAAACTCACTTTAGTGAGACTTGTGTTCTCTCATCCACCTCCAAAGCAGCCTTCCAAAGTCAGGGTCACTGGTGTCACCTGGGTTGCTGAATCTATTGGTCATTTCTCATTCCTCGCTGTACTTCTCAGGAGCCTGCAACTGCTGGTGACTTTCTCCTTCTTGATACACTTAGTCAAACTCACCGGTGACATATTCTCTTGGATATGTAGTCTCTCTCCCATTGCTGTTGAGGAGGTTTTGACTCATAGTTGACCCTCTAGTGGATGTCCAATGTCGTAAATCCAATGAGAGGAGGTTGCCCATCTTTTTCCCACAGAGCACCTGGCAGATCTGATGCCCCAAGAAGTTCTCCCTTTGTGTTAGCAGCACAGTCTATGGAAGAGATCATGAGAAAGTGCCCTTGGATGTATCTCAAGTATGTATAAGCATCTCAAGGTCAATATGCTCAAATGACTTCTGCTCTTACTTCCCAAACTTCTATTCCTCTTGGAGCTTAAACAATTCAATCAGTTGCAACTCCACACTTCTAGTTATCCAGGTCATAGGAAGGTCATTCCTTTCCACATCGCAGGCAATCTATCAGGGAGCCCTGTTGGGTCCACACTGAAAATACATCCAGCACCTGACCATGGCTCACTGTTGTTGCCACTGCCCTGGTCTGGCACACCACATCACCTAGACAACTGCAGCTGTCTCTCACAGATACATTATCAGCACAGAAGCCAGAGAGATCCTTTTAGTAAGTCACATCTGTGCTTAACACCCTTCAATGTGGGCAAATGGAAAGCATTCTCTAACAGGACAGTAACTGGTGCAATACCACTAGAGGACAGAAGACACAGAAATGCATAGCGTTACAACTAAGGTAAATATTATTACATACATTATATTTTAAGTAATAACAAACATCATCTGCAAATGGACACAGAGGTAGATAGGCAAGATGAACAAATACAGGTAGAAGAAGGGCCTAAACCCACAATAATACACAGGTTTGCTATTTCTACATACATATCTATAAGCGCTGTAAATAGATCCACATACACAGTAAACAGGGACAAAGGTACATACACTTCTTAGCCATAATCACCACCTTGAGAAAATAAGTTGCAAGACCTGGGGTCACAGATTCATGGTCTCAAGGGACATCAAGGGGTGCTGGCACACCATAGTCCACAGATAGTGTTCTACATCATACTTAGGTGAGTAGCAACTGGGGTCTTATGAGCACGTAAGAGGCCATCTATGGTGCAACTATTGATTTCTCCCTGTCTGGAGCAAAGAGTAGTTATGAAAGCCAAAGGCACATGGAAACAGGCAAATTACCCCAAGGGACTGACAGTTCAGGCAAAATCTTCATTTCAACAACCCTGAACCCAGAGCTGGTCAAATACCCCTGCTGAACACTCTGAAGGAATCCTAAGAGGGCCGTGGGTAGAGCAAGAAGCAAATGTGGTCCAAGGTGGAAAGGCAAGGCAACCTTCTCTAGTTAAGACTTCTAGCCTCGAAAGCCAATGGTGGCTGCTGGGCGGTAGAACTGACCCAGAGGTCATGGATGGTGTGTGAGCTTTGTTTTGGAAGGCTGGTGTTTCGTCTTTATTTTTGGAAGAAGGTGTTATGTTCTCTCAGCTCCTTCTAGCCTTAACTCAAATCTCGTTTTCTCAGTAAGTTCTTCCTGATGCTCTCATACTGAACATTGCAATTCGTTACCACTTCTCCTCAACTGCCTTCAACACGTTTACCCCAGCCTACCTCAGCCCCTCCTCTGCTTTGTTTCTCCTAGTATGTAGTGATCATTTATAACAAGCTTATTTTATTTATTGTATACCTTTCTTGACAAAATGAACAGCAAAGATCAGCTAGAATGCTTCTTGCTGCTGCCCCATTTGCTCAAGCCCCACTTCTGCCAACAGCCCCTCAAGAGCAAACGTCTGTCACTGTCTGCTAGTCCTTCTATTTCACCAATAACTCCCAGCATCAACTTAAACTCCCACTCCTGCTATCAGATTTTAACGAAGGGGACGCACTCAGCAATTAAGACACCGGAAAGGGCTGATTAGGGTTCCTGCGCATCAGTGTTTAACCCTGCATCCCATGAAGCCATTCAAGCATTAACCTCATTCCCCATACACACTCAATTAGGCATATTTACTTCTCATTACCCAATAAGCAATCACGAGTGCTAATAAAAACCTTTGCTACCCCCAACAACGTAATTAACGCCATTAGCTGTCTCTCAGATGCTCTTCTATACTTTGGTGCCAGCAACAGTCAGCTCATTCATTCATTTAGTCATGCATTCATGCACGTATGCCTTTTTCCACTCAGCAAAAGTTAAATGCACACCTACTATGTGCCTTCCAGGCAAAGACTTGACACTTGAGAGATGAATTAGACACAATCATTGCTCTAGAAGAACTCATGCCAACCGGCACATGGCTTTAATGTTGATGCGGTGCACAGCACAATCGGACCAGAGAGAGTGCTGCTGAAACCCAGAGGAGGAAGTGGTCAGCAAACAGCTCAGAACCTCAGAGGGTAGTCCAAAACCAGGTTTGCCGACATTCGGATGGCGGGGAAGAAGAACAAACTGGGGAGGAGGGTGGAGAGAATGGTGCGGCAATAAAGGAGTGAAAGCCCAGAATCCCTGTGAATGTTCATTGAAACTAATAAAATTTAATAATAAAAATAAAAAACAAAACAAAAACCAGGTTTGCCAGGCTTTAGCTCTGAGTTTGAATAGGTTATGGTGGTGGCTGTTGCAAACTGCCCTGGCCCTGTCCCCTCATCGTGGTGGTCATCTTCACAGCAGAACCGAATGACGCCCAGACCTGTGCCATTCCCATGACTGGTTGCAGGTCAGACTGTTGTCATCCGTAAGATTTTCACTGGGTGGTTTTTGCAAGTTGATCACCAGGTTTTTCTTCCTAGTCTGCCTTTGGTCTGAAAATGCTGCTGAAACTTTTTCAGCACCACAGCCACCCACAAACCTTCACTGACAAATGGATGGTAGCTGTGCACAAGGTACTTAATGAGAAATTGAACATGGGACTCCTGCATGGAAGGCGAAGATTCTGCCTCTGAACCATCACGACACACACTGAGGCCACACCACAGGGCAGCTGAGAGTGAGGTAATGCATATCAACTACCACCACAGACTGTGCTCCATTAACAGGAGCTTTTAGGATTCACTGTTCTCTTCTCAGCCTTCAGACCATGCCAGGGACTTCCCTTACATTCCTTTTCTCCTCTTCTCTGAGTGGATTGGAGCAGGTTGGAGGGGGTGTCCTCGGGTTGCACGTGAGTCAGAAAAATCCTCTTTCTTCTGCAGACTCGGACAAACGAGGCAACTAATTCTTAAAGACAGGAATAGTCTGAGCCATGAGGACACACAGTGGATGTGATAATCAATTCTCCTAAGCAGGTCTGCTCCCTCAGTTCTTCCACCTGTCAGACCACATGCTTCTCCCTTCTCACCAGATTCTTCCTTCGGAGCCTCAAAGACTGAGATATGAGGACTCTTTGTTCTCCATCAGGCTGTGTGGGTCACAGAGAGGAAGTGAGGGTGGGCCACACACATACACACACAAAAAACAAACCAACAACTCAAAACTCCACACAGCTGACAAAGACGGGCTTCTGGGCACCTGCTGGGGCTTTGGCTGCCCCCAAAGGATGCTGAAATGGCAATTACAAATGTGCTTGTGATTAAAAACAGAGATACATGTGGAGAAATGAATATGTAAAAGAGAATATATGCATCCATATGTGCACAAACACATGATAGGGAAATTTCTGGAATGATACATAAGAAATTGTTCAGATGGTTTCCTCTGTAAAATTGGGAATTATGTTGCATGAGGAGGGCTTTTAGAGAATATTAAAATCCCTTCAAGAATGTTATTTTTATATGAGCGCACATGACATACCTCTGGCTAAAACTATGTCAAACAAACTCAATCCAGCTCCAAGAGTCTCTGTGGGCCGTTCTTCCAGACTTGGACGGTGAGCAGGAGAAGGAGGTGGGCAATGGGGGAAGGGAGAGACAGGATGCCGAGCACTTACTGGTGTTGTGGTCGATGAAATAGTCTCCAACCTGTGGGTCATACGCCTCTTCCCATCCCAGCGGCAGCTCATCACTAATGCAGTCGGCAAACGTGAGCGGTTTGGTGTACCTGCCGAGGAAGAGGAGAGACAGCATGCATCAGTTCCATGTCTGCAAGCCCGTGAGGCCTGCTGTCTTTGGTCTTCCCTGCTCCTTCCTGCTGACACTGTAACTCCTGCTCTGCCATCCTCCCGTCCCTGGAAAGATGATGCATGGTGGCAGCAGGATTAAGTCACCCAAGAAGGCTGGGATTCTGAATTCCAATTCCCAGCTTTGCCAGGAACTGGATAGTGATGGAGCAAACCATTCTCCTTCTGGACCTCAGTTTCTGCATCCCTCTGTGAGGGAGTCACAGGAAAGGGCACTAGGTCCAATCTTCCCCTTAACTCTGCATTGCAGCCCTCTCCGCCTTCACTTCTAACCCGCCCTGTCTCAGTCAGCCTGCTGGCTCTATTCCCTGCTCGTCATACCCACTTCCCCTTTGGAAAGCTGGCTAACAGTAACATCTAGAATAACAGATGTCCCATCCTATGAGTTTGGCCAATTAACATTATTTATTTGCCTCCTGCACTGGTTCCCAAATGCTTGTGCTCACTGCTGTCCTTGCCCGACAATCCAAGCCAAACTGGCCTCTTAGCAAAACCCATCCTCCAGGTCCCCAACCAAGTAGGGAGTGAAGTGGCAACAATCACCCAGCCTTGGAAAAGAAATCAAGCAAACAAACAAATGATTAAATAATCTAACTAAATTAGCCATGGCTGTCAAAAGATGAACTGCATCCTAGTCTGAAGATGGGAAGTCAAGGGAGTTCAAATGACACAGTGACTAAAGTACTCTGCTGCTAACCAGAAGGTCTGCAGTTCAAATCCACCAGCAGCTCCCTGTGCAAAAGATGTGGTAATCTGTTTTCATAAAGATGTACAGCCTTGGAAACCTTGTAGGGCAGCTTTACTCTGTCTCCTAGGGTAGCCAAGAGACAGAACTGACTCGACAGCAATGAGTTTGTTATGTCTGGGGATTTTTTAAAATGCAGAGTTCAACTACGTGGAAATTACTTTGGTTTCTCCCCACTGCTCTCTTTCCCCCAAAACACACATGCTAATAACATCCCCCCTCTCCTCTAGGCTCCTTTTTGTTGGCTGTCATCATGTCAGCTCTGACTCATGTCAACCTTACATACAGCAAAATGAAACACTTCCCAGTTCTGTGTTCTGTGTCATCTTTATAGCCACTGGTATATTTGAGATTATCTTTGCTTCTTATTCCACCCCAATTCTGGAAGCTTCGAGGGGCTCTGCTTCAACATCCTTTATACAGATTGGCGAGGGGAGACACGACAGAACAGGAAGAAAGAGAACCAGGAGGAGGGTCTACGGCTTCTGACCACGAAAGTCAACTTCTAAGCCAAAGGAACCTGCCTTTTCTTTTATACTGTTTCATTTCCTTTCTTCTTGAATCAATTCCTAATCAAACTCATTCTATGGATGAGAAATTGTGAAAGAAGGCTCTTAGTGGATCTGGCCTTCTGTATTTCATGCAGCACTACAAGGTGGGCTAGGCTGTTAAGACTAACAGATGGCTGAACGGATGGATAACCCCCAACTTCTGTTAGTCAGCACCTCCGGCTCCAATCTGGGAGATGGTTAGTTTCATGAAGAGACTGTTACTTAAAAAGGAGGATTCAATGAACAACACTTACCAGCCACATTGTTTTAGCTAATTACTTAACAGCTCTGAGTCTTAGTATTATTATCCATAAAACTGTCCTAATAGTAAGTCTGCAGGTGTTGGCTACGCTAAACAACACCTCAGCTCAGAGGAACTTTGAACACTAAGAAAGAAACCAGTTCTTATTAGATCCAGCACTCAGAAGGAGACATGAATGCTAAGAAAGACTAAATAACACACTTCATGCCTTTTATCTAGAAAGTGACAGGGCTTGAATTGTATCCAGGGAAATCTGTCTCTAGAGTGTTTGCTCCGAGCTACTAGTTTTCTCGTAAAAGTTGTTATCTTTAACCCATCTCTTGAGTCCTTGGAAAATCACTACAATCCATCACCTGGAGCAAAAGGAGGGAAGGAGGGGGTGCCAGGAAACTTCCTCTTATCAGCTGAGAATGTTCTTTTGCTCAGAAGCCCAGCAGACAGTCTAGGTTCATTGTGAATAAGCTCTTTTGCAAGGCCATCTTCTGCCCACCCCACCACTACTACATTCTGTCTAGACTTCTGAAAGAAAATGCCTCCTCTTCCCTCACTCCTCCCCTTCTTCAAACGTCAAAGTGGTTCATTCTCTCTTCACTGCGGAGAACAGAGCTCAGGGACCAAGAGTCAAACCCTGTCCAATATCATTTTACCCAACAAGTCTTTGAACGGGTCTTTGAAGAAAACAGGTATTCTTGTCCATGGTGAATTACCGTATAACTGATGACTGCTCAGTTTATGACAGAACATGTACACTCAGGCTTGCGTTCTGGGCACATTCCCCACCTGCACACTACACGAAAAACACTGCCAGTCAGACTGGCTGCAGAGAGGTAAATTTTAGTAAAGATACTTTCCAGCTCAGAAAAGCCAAGATTTCTCTCCTATTGACGAGTCCTCTAATCCTCATAGATATCAATGCCCTTAATAATTCCTCCTTAGGAATTCAGTCATTTTCACTGACAGCACATCTAAGCAACAGTAGTATTATATCCATGGCACAACTGATCCTCAAGTATTTGTGCAGTGGATTAATATTCTACAGAAGATGTAGGAAGAAAAGTATGTTAATTAAGGGTGATGGAAAAATTCAGTAATGGTTAATGGTGATGGTTGAACAAAATGGTGACTGTCATGAATGTCACTGAACTGTGCACGGAAGACTGTACAAATGGGAAATGTTCTGTTACCTATGCAATTATCACAATTTTATTAAAAGAAATAAAAACAGAGAAGCAATCACTATTTGCCTTAAAACTTACATACATATTGATTAATCAAAGTAGTTCTAAGGATGTCTAACAACATTATAAATGGCAGCACACTGGTATTTAATCTACAAATCTATTCAGTGGGCCTTGATTTCAATAGTATTCTGCACACCTTATGTAGCTATCCCCTTTAAGATGTTTGGAGTTGGCCTTATTTTTAAAATAAAAAGCAAACAGGAAAGAATGGCTTGAATGTAAAAGAATTTTACTTGTATGCAAAGCAAATAATTTGAGAAACTGGACTATATGAAGAATGAGCATCAGGACTGGAAGAAGACACACCAACAACCTGCATTATGCAGATAGCACAACCTGGTTTGCAGAATATTAAGAGGACTTGAAGAACGTGTTGTAGAAGATCAAAGACTACAGCCTTCAATAGGAATTACATCTCAACCAAAGGAAAATAAAAATTCTCACCAATGGACCAACAGGCAACATCATGAAAAATGGAGAAAAGACTGAAGTTGTTAATGGCTTCATTTTACTTGGATCCATAATCGCTACCTATGGTAACAGCACTTAAGAAATCAAAAGAAAAAATTTTTAAAAAATCAAAAGACAAACTTTATTTGGAAAATTTGCTTCCAAGAGCCTCACTGCTCTAAAGTACTGAAGAGCAATGATGCCAGTTTAAAGACTAAGGTGTGTCTGTCTCAAACCATAGTATTTTCAATTGCTTCCTAAGCATCTGAAAGTTGGACAAAAAAGAAAAATGACAGAACTAATGCCTTTGAGCTGTGGTGCTGGAGATGAATACAGGATATATCATGGGTTGCCAAAAGAATAACCAAATCTGTCTTGGAGGAAGACTAATCCAGGTGCATTTTAGAAGCAAGAATAATGAGATTCCATCTCACATATTCTAGGCATACCATTAGAAAAGAGAAGCAGAGAAAGAGAGGAGAACCCTCAACAAATTGGACTGACATAGTGCTGGTTAAAATGGGCTTGAACATACCAGGGATGGTGGGGATGGTGCAGGAGAGTGAGAGAGGAAGGGCGGGAGGGAGAGAGAGAAGACAAGCAAATGGAAAGATATACACTCAAAGGTTACACGGGTAATGTGATTTTAATTAATTTTTCCCTTTACAAATATTAAACCCTCTATTAATTTAAAATGTCCCCATACTAATTACAATGAAAAAGTAGACTAAACCTATGCCTACAGAGCGTGCTGCTTCTATCACATTCCCTCGCTGGACAGTGGGTACTCTTACTCTTCTCATTTCACAGATAAGAAAACATGCTCAACCTCACACAGCAAGCAAATGCCAGAGGTACAACCTGAAGCCCCTGCTTCCACAGTACGAATTTTGCTAATAAGAGAAAACAAGGCCAAGTTAGTCTCAGAAAAATCTGGAAAACAGAGTAATCTACAATGGAGGCACAAATGATGAGGCTGTCCCATGACAAAAGCACTTGAACTTCAGCATAGCTAGTGCTGTTAATTATACCTTGGTGCAAAGAGATCCAACAAATGCAGATAATCACACTTAATTCAAAAGCAAATAATATGGTTGGAAACCATCAACACAAGTGATTTACTAAGTTCTCTGAGTGTGTGGTAGGCGGAATGAGAGCAAGAGAGAAATGGATGGAAATGTCATAAATGGAGCATTTTACAGAAAACCATTAACTCCACTGACTGCTGTTGCCTTAGATGTTGGGAAGACAGACCTCAGATAACTATTAGTTGCAAGTGTCAGCAAAGAGAGGGACATGTGGATTATCCTACCAGGCCCAGGATGCTAATTCTCACTTACAGTGAATGCAGACATTGTCCCCAACAGAGATAAAGGAAGAATGTGACTGGAGGATGTAAAAGTGAGAAGAGGGGAGAGCCCAGGGGAATAGAAGGCTTTGCGCTTAATATTCAGAATCTTCTTCAATTGGAGGCGAGGGGCGAGAGGGGGCAGAATCAGAAGGCCTAAAATCCTGACATTCATTTCTATTTAAGTCCAACCCAAGCTCTTCTATGGGAAAAAGGAAAGCTTCTATGAGAAGGCTCTGCAATTAACAAGGAATCTGGACAGCAAGATTGCCTCTCAAACAAATAAATGCCAAATAGATGAGTTATGCAGCATGTAGAGAGGTG